TTCCCTCCCCTCCCTCCGTCCCTGCCTCCCTCCCTCCCTTCGTCCTCGTCCTCGTCCTCGCTCTCTTCTCTTCTCTCCTCCTCCTCCGCCTCCTCCTCCTCCTCTTCCTCCCGCGCCCGCGGTGGTGGTGGCGGTGGTAGTTAAATGTTGTTCAATCGCTTCGCTGAGCAGAAGTCCAAGTCAAGAGGGGTTGGAAACGCCAGGCGAGCCAGTTCTCAAGCAGATGGCCGAGCACTCCCCAGGAGGACAAGGCCACTCCCCCTGCCAGGCACGAGTACCGCTAGTAACCCCCGAGCCCTGTCGAAGCCTGGCAAGCCCCGACAGGTCCTCACAAGAAGGTGGCTGTAGTTGAAGGTGGATGCGGAGGCGGAGGGGGACGGTGGTCAGGGGCCATGTTGGAAGGGGAAAGACTCCAGGTGGAGAGTTTCGGGTTCGAGGTGTTCGGGCGTGTTCGTCGGCTCTCGGCGGCCTTCCAGCCTCGGGGTGTTCTCCAGCAGCCGCGCCTCGCCGAGAGCGTCCAGGGGCTGCCTGGATTGTCCCGAAGGTCCGCCGGAGACCCGAGTGATGTCCCGAAAGCTGAGGGGCAACGACAGGGAGGGCGGTGGGTTCAGGGGGGGGGGATGCATCGACCCCCGATCGCCCATTCCTTGCCGATGGGGGGGCCTGGGTGCTCCCCGCGCACCACGCCCAGGAGCGTGCGTTTTTTTTTTCGCTTCCCCGAGGGCCCCTCGTCGATCTGTCGTGGATGCATCGCCACGATCCAGCGCCCCCCTCTGCTGTCGCCCCTCAGTCCCGAGCTGCAGCGCCGTCGTCGCCGCCGGCGCCGCCCCCGTGGCCGCCACCGCCTTCGCCGCTGCCGCCGCATGCGATGCCGTCATCGCAGGCGGCGCCGGCGGAGCCGACGGCAGCGGCAACGAGCCACTCCTTCGGGACCCCTTCCCAGTCCCTCTTGTTTCTGATGCTTGTTTTGCTGCTGGTCTGTCCTTGTGTGCTCTTCTCTTCGCAGCGTGGGCGACGCGCCCAGGGGCCCCGCAGGGCCCCCGGCAGGGGCCGAACACGGCCATCAACGATCCGCCGCGATTCCTCCTCGAATCGGAGGGGCTCGGGCGGGGAAGGGGCTCTGGCGACACATGTGAGGGTCGGCATCTGCTTTGCCCCCATCACCGACAAGGTGGGGACCCCCTCAAACCTGGGGCAGCACCGACCAGAAGGCCGGCAGCGCCGTCAGGGGGGGGGGGGTGGCAGCCCGGCGGTCTGAGCCCAGGCGCCGGAAATCCACGGGGACGCAGGCGAGGCGGAAGGCGGTCCTCGAGGAGGCGGAGGAGGAGGAGGAGGAGGAGGAGGAGGTAGGAGGAGGAGGAGGAGGAGGAAGGAGAGGAGGAGGAGGAGGAGGAGGAGGGAGGAGGAGGCAAGCGCGTTCCACTACTCGCAGAGTAACTACTCGCAGATGCCCTGGATCCGCCGAGGGGGATCTGCGATCCACGGCATCGAGGCAGAAGCTGCCTTGGATCTGCCGAGGTGATCCATGACATCGAGGCAGACGTTCGTTGTTGGGACCTTTTGCGAGTAGGCACTTTGCGAATAGTGGAACGCGCTGGGTGCGAGAGGGCAGGCCTTCTCAGATGGTGGCGGGCCCTTTCTCGTCGTCGGAGAGGGGGCTTTAGAAACCTTCCAGGGACGCCCGAGGCCTCCCTCCTGCGAGCCTTCTTGGGAGGCCCGCTCCCGCTGCCTTCACATCCGGGCGCGCCGCCGATGCGGGGGCGCTTGACAGTCCGGCCGTGGAGAGAGCGGCAGTGCCAGGCGCCCTCCTCCTCCCCCTCCAGCAGCTCCGTCTCTCTCTTCCCCGGTACACTCGCGGCCCCATTGCTCCGAGGGCTTGCTAGCATCTCGGGCGGGGGGCTCCGGGTACACTTGCATGCCGCTGGTGCGTGCGCGCGTGGGCGGCCCCTGGAGGCACCGGGGAGGGAGGGGGAAATCGCCGGACGATTGGTGGTCAATGGTGGCTCGGCCCCTCGGGCCCAGCCCGAATGACAGCTCGGCCCCGCAGGCCACGTCCCGCACGGCCACTGGGATTCTCCAGACCGCTAGATACCCTCGAGCATGCTGCTTAGAGGCCCCCAGAAGGCCACTAGACGGCTCCAAGTGCCACCGAGCCCCCCAACAATCCAAGACGCCAACATCTCTCAAAAGCCTGAAGGCGCTTCTGACGTATTTGGCGCTCCGCGCGGATTTCTTGGATCCGCGCTGGCCCCCGCCCCCCTGGCGGCGCCTCCGGCGCGCTCCGGCGCCGCCGGGGGGGGGGGTCCGCGCGGAGCCCCAAAACCTGATGTTTGTGGCGTTTTTTCTCCTCCTTTTCCTCCTTTCCTCCTCTTCCTCCTCCTCTACCTCCTCCTTCCTCCCCCATCCTACTCCTTGCCCTCTCCTCCTCCTCTCCTCCTCCTCCTACTCTGCCTCCTCCTCCTCCTCCTCTCCTACCCTCCCTCTCCTCTCTCATCCGCTCCCTCCTCCTCCTTCCTCCTCCTCCTCCTCCTCCTTTTCCCCTCCTTCCTCCTCCTCCTCCTCCTCCTTCCCCCCCTCGTCTTCCTCCTCCTCCTCCTCCTCCCCTCCTCCTTCCCTTCTCCTCCTCCTACTCCTTCTTCCTCCTCCTCGTCCTCCTCATCTTTCCCCCTCCTCCTCCTCCTCCTCCTCCTCCTCCTCCTCCTCATCCCTTCCTCTCCTACCTCGCCTCCTTCCCCCTCCTCCTCTCTCCTCTCCCACCTTTCTCCTCCTCCTCATCCTCCTCCTCCTTCCTCCTCCTCTCCTCCTTCTCCTCCTCCTCCGCTCCTCCCCCTCCTCCTCCTTACCCCTCCTCCTTCGTCTCACTTGCCTACCTCGGCGCGCCGCCGACCCGCAGATGGAGCGCTACACCCAGGTGGAGATCAAGCACGGCCGCATCGCCATGATCGCGTGCATCGGGTGCCTCCGCCCCCGCGCCGGCGCCACTCGAGCTCCGCGCATTGGCGTCGGAGGCGTCTTGGCCGGCCTGCGGAAGCGCGCCGCGGGGGCCGTTCGGGCTGCGCACTGCCTTCCGCGCCTCCTCCGTCTCCTCCTCCCTGCTCCTCCTCCTCCTTCTCCTCCTCGATCCTCGATCCTCGATCCTCGATCCTCCTCTTCGTCCTCCTCCTCGATCCTCCTCGATCCTCTTCCCTCTTTCTCATCCTTTCTCATTGTCTTCCGTCTCTTCCTCCTTCTTCTCGTCCTCTTCCTTTTTGAGCGGGCTCAAGCTGCACAGCTATTACGTCTGGGTGGCGATAACATCCGACTTAGGCGAAGTGTCACGCACAGCAACAATCTCAACACGCAGCGGTGGGAAACCAGGCTAAGTGGCAATGGAAAGCAGGGTAGCCCGTTTGGGCTCGAATTTTGCGTGCAGAGGTCGGTGGGGTGGATGTGATGGGTTAATGTTCCGCAGGATGACAAGATGACAAGCTTCATGACCGAAGGATTATATCAATGAGGGGTGGTCTATCTACTGAAGTGTGCGGGCGGCAGCAGGTTGGCGGCAGCCTCCTCTTTCTCCTTCCTCTCCTCCTCCTCCTCCTCCTCCTCCTCCTCTCTCCGTATCCTCCTCCCTCCGCTGTCTCCTCCTCCTCCTCCTCCTCCTCCTCCTCCTCCTCCTCCTCCTCCTCCTCCTCCTCCCCCTCCTCCTCGTCCTCCCTCCTCTGTCTCTTCCTCCCGCATCTGCGACCCCAGCATCTGACCACCCTTCAGGGAAAATGGCCCCTGGGGGTCGGGCGCGTGAGCGTCCGTCCTGCTCGCTGCGCTGACGCCCAGAGCTGTCCGCTGTCAAGACCGTCCCTGGGAAACCCCTCCCGAGCTGGGCGCCCTTTTCTCACACAGCTGGGCGGAGTGGAAGGGGGGGGGGGCGGGTAGCGTCGGTCTGTCGGTCGGTCGGTCGGTCGGTCGGTCGGTCGGTCGGTCGGTCGGTCGGTCGGTCGGTCGGTCGGTCGTCGTCGTCGTCGTCGTCGTCGCGTCGTCGTGTCGTCGTCGCCGCCGACGCCGCCGCCGTCCCGTCGCCGTCGCCGTCGCCGTTCGCCGTCGCCGTCGCCGTCGCCGTCGCCGTTCGCCGTCGCCGTCGCCGTCGCCGTCGCCGTCGCCGTCGCCGCCGCCGCCGTCGTCGTCGTCGTCGTCGTCGTCGTCGTCGTCGTCGTCGTCGTCGTCGCCGCTGCGATGCTGCTGCTGCTGCTGCTGCTGCTGACGCTGCGCTGCCGCCGCGCCTCGCGGCGCGGGCTCTGCTATGAGCGGCGGTCTCGCGGGTGCTCGGCTGCCGCGGGTGCCGCGGCGGTCTCGCGGGTGCTGCTGCCGCTCACGGCCGCCGTGCCTCGCTGCGGTGCCGCTCCGTCGGTGCTCTCGCCGAGGCTGCCGCCCCGCCTCCTCGTCCTCGTCCTCGTCCTCCTCCTCCTCCTCCTCCTCGTCCTCGTCCTCGTCCTCCTCCTCCTCCTCGTCCTGGTCCTGGGATCTTCTCCTCTCCTCCTCCTCCTCCTCGTCATCGTTTCATCCTCCTCATCGTCCTCGGCCCCTCCCCTCCTCCTCTCCTCCTCCTCCTCGTCTCGTCCTCCCCTCCTTCCTCTCCTTTTTCCCCCTCCTCCTATTCCTCTGGTCGTCCCCCTTGTCCTCTCTGGTCCTCCTCTCTCTAGTCGTCCTCCTCGTGCTCATCCTCATCCTCCTCCTCCTCCTCCTCCTCCTCCTCCTCCTCTCATCCTCCTCCTCTCTCATCCCCTACCTCGTTCCCCCCTTCTCCTCCCCCTCACCCCATTTTCTCTTCCTCCCCTTCTTTTTCCTCCTCCCCGTCCATCCCCCCTCTCCCCCCCCATTCGTCCGTCCTCCCCTCCTCCCCCCAATTCCTCCTTCCCTCTCTTCCTCCCTCCTGCAGCAGTTCGGCAGGTACGTCATGCCAGAGATCTTCCGCTTCCCCGGCTGCGAGGACTTCGGGCACGGCCTGGCCGCCCTGACAACCATCCCGGCCGAGGGCCCCCTGCCGCCCCTGCCAGATGAGGGCGAGGATGGAAGCGGGGGGACGAGGGGAGGAGGGAGGAGGGAGTTGGGAGGAGGAGGAGGAGGAGGAGGAGGAGGAGGAGGAGGAGGAGGAGGAGGAGGAGGAGGATGACCAGTGGAAACCCAAGTGTCATCATCGATGTTGGAATTCACCCTCCCTCCAAGCTCCCTGTTCATAGGCCCCTACAAAACGGTTCATTTCCATTGAGGGAACTGCCTCGCTGGAAGACAATCGTTTGAAGATCCTGAAACGTGCCAAAACATTGTTCGCGGGATTTCAACGCCACGTATCAACCTGACTGCCGCGTCTTGACGATCCAGAACCGTGCCAGAAGCCTTTTTTAAAACTTCGAAGCAGCGAATCAACATGAATGTTGCGCCCGCATATCCTGAGTCCTTCCAAAACAAAGTTTCTGGTACGTTGATCATGGGGATCCGTGAAACTCTTGCGAATTTTAAAAACGAATGTGCGCCGCGCTAGGGCGAGAGCCACATTTTGACAACGAGCCGCCCTCAATCCGTGAAATTTTTGCACATTTTTCAACGAACGCGCGCGGCGCTAAGGCGAGAGGCACATTTTGGAAACGACCCGCCCTCAATCCGTGAAGCTCTTGCAATTTGTTGAAGCGAATGTGCCCGGCGCTAAGGCGAGAGGCACATTTTGAGAATGACCCGCCCTCAATCCGTGAAGATTTTGCAACTTTTTGACACGAATGTGCGCGGCGCTCAGGCGAGAGCCACATTTTGAAAACGACCCGCCTTCAATGCGTGGCACATTCTTTAAACGAATGTGCCCGGCGCTAAGACGAGAGGCACATTTTGAAAATGACCCGCCCTCAATCCGTCAAGCTCTTGCACATTTAAATAACGAATGTGCCCGGCGCTAAGGCGAGAGCCACATTTTGAAAACCACCCGCCTTCATCTGTGAAACAGTTGCCTCTTTTTACACCTCAGAGTCATGAATGGTGAGGAAGTCTCAGGCGAAACGCCCGGCCCGCCTTACAAACTGGCCTCGGGGTGCGACAGGGAGACGTAATCCATAAGGAGAAGGAATGGAGGATTACGGAATTACGGAATTACAGAGGAGGCGGAGGAGGAGGCGGAGGAGGAGGAGGAGGAGGATGAGGAGGAGGAGGAGGAGACGGAGGAAGCGGAGGCGGCGGCGGCGGTGGCGGCGGCGGCGTCGGCGGCGGCGGCGGAGGAGGAGGAGGAGGAGGATTATGGGATTACGCAGGAGGCGGAGGAGGAGGCGGAGGAGGAGGAGGAGGGCGAGGAGGAGGAGGAGGAGGAGGAGGAGGAGGAGGAGGAGGAGGAGGAGGAGGACGAGGAGCAGGAGGAGAGAACATAACACTGCATGACAGAACACTGCGTCGGAGGCCTGGGCACGGAAAGCCGGGAGGCTGGAGGCTGGAGGAGGGCTCAGGGGCAGCGTTAGGGGGGACACGGTCGGGAGTTCATGGTTAGCCTGTCGCGCCGCTGGTTCTAGGGGAACAGGACATGACATAAACATAACAACTCGGAGGTCCGCGCGGATTTCTTGGATTCGCGTTGGACCCTCTTCCCTGGCGCGCGGAACGCGCCAGGGGCGGCGCCAGAGGCGCCGCCAGGGCGGTCCAGCGCCGATCCGAGAAATCCGCGCGGACCTGCGATTTTTTTAAGTTTATGTCATTCTTCGTTCCCCTGGTTCTGGCCCACCGCGCTGCGGCGCGCTGCGCTAACCCCGCGGGCATCAGCGGCCCGCGCTCCTCCTCCTCCTCCTCCTCCTCCTCCTCCTCCTCCTCCTCCTCCTCCTCCTCCTCCTCCTCCTCAACCACCACTCACCGCGCTGCGGCGCGCTGCGCTAACTTCGGGCAGCAGCGCCCCGCGCTTCTCCAGGCCTCCCGCCCCCGCGCAGCGGAGCGGCGCGCCAATCGTCGGCTTCTGCACGGGACCGGCGCGTCGCCCGGGCGGCCGCCCCGGCGCGCCGAGCAAACGCTCCTGACTTGTAGTCTCGGGGGGTACCGCATCGACCGCCAAGCCCATCGGCGCCACCCCAGCATACTTATACTATATGTGCGTCGCCCCCCCAGGGGCGACGCGCACACCGAGAACTCTTGTAGCATGTGCGTCGTGGCGGACGCTTTCTGGCCACACCGCTCGGGAAACGACATACTACACGATGGGTATACTACATGTTCGGGTCGGACGCGCGCCTCCGAGGAGAACATGTAATATTTGTATGTCTCTGTGCGTCCCATCCTACTTCGGACTTTCCACCTCCGCCCCCACGTGCACCTGTCGACCTCCAGCCTCCAGCAGCTCAGCACTCTGACCTCCAGCATCCAGCATTCGACTTCCTGCCTCCACCTCAGACCACCGACCTCCAGTGCCCACCAGTGCAACATCCTGGCGTCCAGGCTCCTCACCTCCTCCTCTTCCTCCTCCTCCTCCCCCTCCCTCCCCCCCCCCTCCCATCCTCCTTCCCTCCTCCTCCTCCCTCCTCCCTCCCTTTCCTCCCCCCCTCCCTCCCTCCTCCCATCCCTCCCTCCCTCCCTCCCCCCTCCCTCCCTCCATCCCTCCCTCCCTCCCTCCCTCCCTCCCTCCCTCCCTCCCTCCGCCGCCAGAGCGTCCGACTTCCACTTCACCTCCGCCTGTTCACTTCCAGACCCCCGCGCGCTGCGAACAGAGCCGCGACGGGCAGCGCTCCTCGCTACTTCCGGCCTCCGGGAGGCCCCTGCTGGGCCTCGGGGCCGTCAGAAAGTGACCGAGGATGAATCGGGGGTGGACAGAACCCCCAACAGTGACACGTCGATTAGTGAATTGTCCGTTTTCGGTTCTCGAGAGGGCGCCGTGGCCGCTATTTTCCAGGCTTGCGCCCGCCCGGTTTGGGCCTCAGGTCGTTTTCACTAAACCACGTTTTGCTAAAGGGGGGTCTGTCCATCCCCGAATGAAGAACCGGTCCCGGGGAACGGGTCCAGATTTAAATCGGGCCTGTCCCTCTACAGCAGGAGTATTCAAAAATAGTAGAAAAATAGTTGGGAGACGATTTTTGTGAGTAGTTTGGCTATTTTGATTTTTGGTTCTCCCGTATTTTTGAGTTATCGTCCAAAATCCCCTTGTAGGGGGACATGCCCGATCTAAGTCCAGACGTTTCGGGGTCGACGTTGTGAACAAATCACGGTGTCGGGGGATCTGGGATGGTCTCGGCCGGGAGTTCCAGATCTCTTGGCGTCTTCGCTGGCTCTCGGTGTTCTTCAGCCTCGGGATCCAGCATCCTCGCCTCGCCGAGAGCGTCCCCGGGGGTGCCCAGATCGTCCCGAGCGGCCGCAGGAGGCTCGAGCTGTGGCTCGAAAGCCGGGGCACCTGCAAGGGGCTTAGGCTCAGGAAGGAGGAGGAGGAGGAGGAGGAGGAGGAGGAGGAGGAGGAGGAGGAGGAGGAGGAGGAGGAGGAGGAGGAGGAGGAGGAGGAGGAGGAGGGTGGAGGAGGAGGAGAGGAGGAGGGAGGAGGAGGAGGAGGAGGGAGGAGGGAGGAGGAGGAGGAGGAGAGGAGGAGGAGGAGGAGGAGGAGGAGGAGGAGGAGGAGGAGGAGGAGGAGGAGGAGGAGAGGAGGAGGAGGAGGAGGAGGAGGAGGAGGAGGAGGAAGGAGGAGGATGAGGAGGAGGGAGGAGGAGGAGGAGGAGGAGGAGGAGGAAGGAGGGAGGAGGGAGGAGGAGAGGAGGAGGAGGAGGAGGAGGAGGAGGAGGAGGAGGAGGGAGGAGGAGGAGGAGGAGGAGGAGGAGGGAGGAGGAGGAGGAGGAGGAGGAGGAGGAGGAGGAGGAGGAGGAGGAGGAGGAGGCGAGTAGGAGGAGGAGGAGGAGGGAGGAGGAGAGGAGGAGGACGGCGGAGGCGGGCGGAGGGGCGGAGGCGGGCGGACGGAGCGGGCGGAGGCGGAGGGAGGCGGAGGCGGAGCGGAGGCGGAAGCGGAGGAGGAGGAGGAGGAGGAGGAGGAGGAGAGGAGGAGGAGGGGAGGGAGGAGGAGGAGGAGGGGCGGAGGAGGAGGAGGAGGAGGAGGAGCCGGAGGCGGAGGCGGAGGCGGAGGCGGAGGAGGAGGAGGAGGAGGAGGAGGAGGAGGAGGAGGAGGAGGAGGAGGAGGAGGAGGAGGAGGAGGAGGAGGAAGAGGGGGAATGCAGCGATCCTCAATCGCCCGTGCATCGCCCATGGGGGTCCGATGGCCCACCCCGTCCAGGAACGTTCTCTTCCGCAATCGGGGGCCTATCTCCGGTCTCACCGGGATGGATCACGGAGTCCATCGGGGGCCCCCAAACGTGGTGGTGACCACACCGTGCGGTGAGTCGGTGGGGATTCGGGGTCACCGCACGGTTTTGGGACTCGAGTCCCTCTCCGACGATGTCTCGGGCGGCAGGGGCCTCCAGGGTCCCAAAACCGTGCTGTGACGGACCTTGCGGTGAAGTTTCGGGGGATTTCGAGGTCACCGCACGGTCCGTCACCGCACCGTTTCGGGACTCCAAAGTCCAGGGCGATGTTCCCCCCCCCCCCCACACCCGGAGCCGTGCCCGCCACTGTTCCCCCTGGAGTTGGCACTCCCCATATGGGTACGGGGGAATCTGGTGCACTGCCCAACAGCAGACGTTATCCAGATCCGACAGTGGCCGCTGCTGGGCAGGCGCCATTCCGATTCGAAAGGGCGCATCGTCCGCGTCGACGCCGACAGCGAGTCCTGTTCAGGGTGGACAAGAGCTGTTTTTGGTCTTCGTGCCCACTGCTTCCGTGCCCGTGTTTGGTCCCCCGATCAAGGGCAGACATTTGCGGCAGAGTGGGATGGAGGAGGCCCAGGGCGGGGGTAGGGATGATGGGCAGGAGCAGGAAGATCACGACGACGAGGGTGCAGTGGGCGCATTCGGCGGGAATGGATGCGGCGGCACTCCACAGCGAAGAGGCGGGGAGGGGGATGCGGAGGCGACGGAGGAGCAGCAGCGCCAGCACTCGGCCGTGCTCTTTCGTGCCTGCGCGCTCCTGTCGCGCTGTGACCGTCGCTGGGCGTGCTTTCACCGCAGTGCGGTCTAGCAGCTCTGGTAAGGAATGGATTCAGCCGCCTCCAGTCCAGGCACGTGGGATCTCGCTGACCAAATCGCCGAGAAGCCGCATGGCGGCCGTGAGCACAGCCAACACGATGAAACAGGGATCATTTCGGGCTCAGGAGGGGCTCTGGTTTACTGGCCGTTCCGTGGTTTCGGCTGGGGGACCTACTCTCGAGGCTGGGGCTGCCGTGGCAACATGTGCCCCATCGTTGTGTAGCACGATGGCTGCAGGACGAATTGCCAGCATCAGCGAGGCGTGAGGCCAGAGACGTCTCTGAACACCTGCAGTTTGCTGTGTGGGGCGGGCCTTGGCGATGCAGCCGGCGTCTGGCGGGGCGGGGGGGTGATGATGAAGGTGAGGATGGAGATGAGGATGCGGGAGGAAGTAGGCGGAAGAGGAAGCGGAGGAGGGGCGATGACACGGTGGAGAGCCAGAGAGGATGATAACGCAGGAGGATCACACGTAAGAGGAGATGGAGACGAGGAGGAACAGGAGGAGGAGGAGAATAATGAAAAGGAAGAGGAGGAGGAGGAAAAGCAGGCTGATGATGAGGAGGAGGCGGCAACGAAATGTGAGCAGAAGTGCGAGCATACGTGGGTGGTGGTGGAGGACGAAACGGAGGAGTAGGCGGCGGAAGGTGAGGATACGGGTGGTGACGATGGCTATGACGACGATCAGGACGGCGACGACAACGACGACGAGGAGGAGGAGGAGGAGAATTAGGAGGATGATGCTGCTGCTGCTGCTGATGCTGATGCTGATGCTGATGCTGATGATGATGATGATGATGATGATGATGATGCTGATGATGATGATGATGATGATTATGATGCTGATGTCGATGTTGACGTTGATGCTGATGATGCTGTCTAGGCTTGTGGTACTAACATTGTTGTTCATGCTGCGATTGTTGGTGTTGATGATGGAGGATGGTGATAGCGATGGTGATGGTGATGACTATGACGATGGTAATGCTGATGCTGACGACGTCACTGACGACGATTATGCTGCTGGCGATGACGATGACGATGACGATGAAGATGACGCTGACGATGATGGTCATGCTGATGCTGCTGTTGATGCTGATCCTGATGCTGCTGCCGCTAGGATGAAGTTGCTGATGATCTTGCTGATGATGATGCTGATGATGTTGATTACGCTCATGATTATTCTGATGTGATGGCACTGACGGCGATGCTGACACATATGACGATGGTGCTGATTATGATGATGGCGGTGGTGGTCATGATGATACTGTTGCTGCTGCCGATGATGATGTTGCCGACGATGATGCCGATAATGACGCTGATGAGGATGATGATGCTGATGACGATGACGATACCGATGATTGTGATGCTGATGGTAATCATGTTGCTTACGATGATGCTGATGATGATTATGATGATTATGATGATTATGATGATGATGATGATGATGATGATGATGATGATGATGGTGATGATGATGATGATGATGACGATGATGATGATGCTGCTGATACGGATAATGCGGATGCTGCTGATGATGATGCGGCTGCTGATAGTGGTGATGATGTTTCTGCTGATGATGATGCTGACGATGCTGATGATGATGATGATGATGCTGATGCTGATGATGATGATGATGCTGATGCTGCTGATGATGATGCTGATGCTGACGATGATGCTGCCGTTGCTGCTGATGATGATGCTGCCGGTGATGATGATGATGATGAAGCTGATGATGATGCTGATGCTGCTGATGATGAGGATGACGCTGACGAAGATGCTGATGATGCTGATGCTGCTGATGCTGAGGATGATGATGACGATGGCCATGATGATGCTGATGCTGATGAGGATGGTGATGGCGATGCCGATGATGAGGATGCTGCTGATGATGATGATGATTGTCCAACTGATGATGATGATGCTGATGATGATGATGATGAAGGAAGAATATTCTGATTCTGATGATGACGATGATGACCATGATAATGACAACAACACCGACGACGAAGAGGATGCTGCTGCTGATGCTGCTGCTGCTGATAATGATGATGATGCTGATGATGCTGATGTTGCTGTCGTTTATGATGGCGTTGCTGATGTTGTTGATGCTGCTGATGATGCTGATGTCGATGTTGATGTTGATGTTGATGTTGAGGTTGTTGTTGTTATACTTGTTGTTGTTGTTGTTGTTGCTGTTGCCGTCGTTGTTGTTATCGTGCTTGTTGTTGTTGCTTTTATTCTTGCTGCGGTTGTTGTTGAACACCTACTACTCAAGAGTAATCATTGTAGATCCCCCCTCCCGTGACCACTGTATTTTCAATTGAAGTGCTTCCCCCGGCGCTCGCACCCTGTTTTTTATCAGGGGAAGTCACTCGGGTCAAACTGCGGTGTTGGTCCCCGAATTATCACAACAACGGCTCCCGCCTGACACCTCCTCAGAATTTATTCCCAAATCGCGCTCTCGCGGGACTTCCGCACCACAATTTATTCAGGAATCGCGCTCTCGCGTGGGACTCCCTCGCCATTTATTCAGACGCCGCGCCCTCGACTTTCAGGAGTCAAGCTCTCGTGTGGATTTCCTCACGATTGATTTGGGAATCGAGTTGTCGCTCGAGACTTCCTCGCGGGGCTGCGCGAAATACACGTTGCAGGTAAGAAAGATACCCCCAAGGGGGTACGGTCAAGGACGAAGAGTGTGGGTATCGAGGGTTCGGGATATAACCGCATGCCGATGATAATAAAGGGACCCCCCCCTTCAGTGTTTAGAGTTGATTATCGTCGCCCTATACAAAATTCAAATTGGGCGGCGAGCGCTGAGGCCGAACTTCATTCTCACCTCGAAACGCTATGTTGAGATAGCAACATCAAGCGATGTTGATATAGCAACATCAAGCGAAGCGATCACACTTTTTCAGGATGTGTCAAGCGAAACCAATAATTTTGGGAGGCAGACTCAAACGAAACGAGCAATGTTCTTATTATTCTTCTACGTTCCTCTTCTTCTTTTATATTTCTATATGTCCTCACGCTCGCCTGAACTTTTTTATCCCTGGGGTTGAGTATCAATGGAAAATGAAGCACATGAGCTACCTACACGAGCACTTAAAAACATCAATTTTCATAAAGCGTTTGTAAATTCAAATTGATAGATTTGGAACTTTGGATTGTTCCTTTCTTCGTCCTCTTCTTATTCTCCTCTTCTTCTTCTTTCTTATTATTCTTCTACTGGATTCTTCTTCTTTTATATTTCTCTCTGTCCCCACGCTCGCCTGAACTTTTTTATTTCTGGGGTTGATTATCCATGGAAATTGAGGCACATGAGCTACCCTACACGAGCACTTACAAAAAACAATTTTCATGAGAGATAAGCCATTGTTGAGGATATTTCTTAAACGCCAAGGATGTCTCAAAACGTGCTCGGCTTGGTCTCCTCTTGATCATCTCTTACTTCGAGATTATGCTGAGGTCTGCTGGGCTACTTTTATTATCTCTCCCTGAACCCCGAACTTTATTATCCCCTAGTGTTTATTCTCACGGGCATGAGGTTATGTGTTGAATGGCATGCGAGCAGATAAGAGCGAACAGTTTCGAAATGAATGTCGTTGTTGTTGCTGTTGTTGCTGTTGCTGCTGCTTCTGCTCTTGCTGTTGTTGTTGTTGCTGCTGCTGCTGCGGCTGCTGCTGCGGCTGCTGCTATTGTTGTCCGTGTTGTTGTTGGTTGTTGTTGTTGTTGCTGGTGATATTGATGCTGATGCAGATGATGATGCTGCTGATCTGATGATGCTGCTGATGATGAGGATGTTGATGCTGTTGTTGATGATGGTGATGCTGATGATTTTGATGATGATGATGCTGATGATGATGATGATGATGAGGAGGAGGAGGAGGAGGAGGAGGAGGAGGAGGAAGACGAGGCCGAGGCTGAGGAGGATGAGGAGGAGGAAGAGGTGGAGGAGGAGAAGGCGGTGCAGCAGGAGTAGGCGACGGTTCAGGCGGGGGGGAGCAGGCGGAGGAGTAACCGGCGGAGGCGGAGCAGGCGGCGGCGGCGGCGGAGGAGGCAGCGGCGGTGGCGGAGGAGGAGGCAGGTGGGCGGAAGTGGAGAAATCCCCGCCCGAGGCTGGCTGCAGCTCGTGGCCCTCATTGGCGCGCACGAGGCGCTCCTCAAGGAGAGGGGGCGGCGTGTTTTCGTTTCTTTTTTGCGATGGTTGGGGCAGAGCGAGAGTCGGCGGCGAGCGAGGCGGGAAGCGAGAAGGAGAAGGCCTCCTCCTCCTCTTCCTCCTCTTTCTCCTCCTCTTTCTCCTCCTCTTTCTCCTCCTCCTCCTCTTTCTCCTTCCCCTCCTCCTCCTTCTCCTCCTCATCCTCCTCCTCTCCTCTTGGCGGCGAGCTTGGGGGGAAGTGAGATGGAGAAGGCCTTCTCAGAAGACGGCGGGACTTCTCAGACGCCCTCGGGCCTTCTATGAGGTTTTCCGTGTCTTCGGGGAACGCTCAGGGAATTTCTCAGGAGGCCGGAGGGCTTCCGAGCCTTCTGAGAAGGCCCGCTCTTTCTCACTTCCCCCCCCGGGCTCGCTGCCGAGAGAGGGGTCGGGGAGGAGGAGGAGGAGGACAAGATCGAGGAACGAGGATTGAGGATCGAGGATCGAGGAGGAGAAGAAGAGGATGAGTGTGAGTGTAAGTAGGAGGGCATCGATGATTATGGGCAACGATATTAATTGTGAGGAGGAGGAGGTGGAGGAGGAGGAGGAGCAGGAGTAGAACGGGGAGGAGGAGGAGAAGGGGTTGGAGGAGCAGGAGGTTGACAACAAGGGAGACGATGAGGCCGAGGACGATGAGCAGGACGAGGGCGAGGAGGATGTGGAGGGCGAGGAGGTGGACGAGGGCGAGGTGTATTTGGATAGCGCGAATGACCCGAGGACAAGGAGGACGAGGAGAGGGGACGAGTTGGGACAAGGAGGAGAGAAGACAAGTAGCAGGGGAAAACGGAGGATGAGGAGCAGGAGGATTGTCGAGGTGGGCGGACGAGGAAGGAGGACAGGGAGGGGTGACGTTGAGGACGAGGCGGACGAGGAGGACGAGCAGGAAAGAGAGAGGGGGGGGAGCATCGAGGATAGAGGAGGATGGGGGGGAACATGTGGCTAAAGGAGGACGAGGCGGACAGCGAGGAGCACGATGAGCAGGTGTGCGAGCCGATGCTTGAAGATCGGGAAAGCGCGGCCGAGGAGGCATCCTTGCTCGCACTTGGTCCACCCTCGCTCCGCTTCCGGGCATCAAAGAGTGCGCCGCTCCAGCCTGGCACGCGCGTGGGCGCGGTCAACGGCTCGGACTACGGCTTCGGCACGGAGGTCTTCGACGGCAATCCCGACTTTGACCGAAGG